CCCCCCCCGCAGTCAGTCACAGGATAGTTGCAGCAATTTTTTTCTATAAGCTTCGGAACGCATCCCGCGTCCGATGAGGGCATTCATTTTTTATCCTCGTGAGATGCAATTTGCCTGTTGGATACATGCGTCGTGAAACTCATCGAAATAAAAGCGCTGTGACCATCCTGTCACTGATCGTGCTCCATTCCGCTGTTGTTAGTAGAAATATCTAATTAATTAGATAGACGGTACGATGCGATATTATTCATTTAACACTTGCCGCAACTGTTTCAACATGTACAAATAAATATCCACTTATGCGAAGAAAAGATATCATATCGTAATTATATTTCTACTTCTTGTAAATATTCGCCAAGGAGCATCGGTGCAACCATTCTACTCGGATCAAGTAAATATTAGCACTTTTTTCCTCGGTGCGGCACATTTCTTTCTCGCACATTTCAACGAAATTTCGCACGTCGTTTCGCGCGAGACGCGAAAGAACGTTGCTCGCGGACGCTGCAAGAAGCTTCCGATATTTTGCGACGCGAGTAAAAGAAGCTTCCGATATTTCGTCTGGATTTAACGTCGGGATTCGCGTCCGGCTGCGGCGAAGATATTTTGCAAAGAGGTATGATACTCGGACTGTCGGAATCCGCGTCGTAAAATTGTCGCGACAATGCTGCCAGTGCGCGCCGGTAGAAGCTACTCTCTCTCTCTCTCTCTCTATTTCTCTCTCTCTCCGCCGCTGACGACATTTATCCCCCGCCACTCGTAAATAACTCCTCATTTTATTTTACATGGCAGAATTCCATTCGCGTGCATCTGCGCCTCGGAGGAGCCGTAAAAATCTTCCGCGGAGTACGCGTTAACTCCCTTTTACGTCCTCGCCGGAATCCCTCCCGGTGTGGATATAAGACACTTCGAGAACGTTGTAGGCACGTAAAGGCAATCACCGTTACCGACATAATGGCCGTATTATTATCAGTACTCTCTTTTGTCCGCTCTCTCTCTCTCTCTCTCTCTCTCTCTTGCTCGCTCGCCCGCTCACCATATTTCTCCCAATTTTCCCCGGCCTCTCGATTTCGCGATAATTCACGACATTCTCGCCGTCCCGCTTACGTCACAGCCGAGAGGAAAAAAAACGGCGGAAAAAGTCACCGATATTGTCCGGAATTGCGCGAAACCGGGGAACTTCCGTGTGCGAGTAAGCAGTTATTGCGCGACCGCGCTTTAAATTCGCCAGGACGAGCGCGAGGCAATTTCCCCCGAGCTAATCCGAGGAAATCCGAATAACTCAATCTCGAACGGGCGCGAAAGTTCGAATGACATTTGCCGCGTTACAAATTGCGGCGAATTTCTCTGTTCCCAGTTCCGGTGGCCGCATCATGAGAGCAACGTCGAGTACGATCGCCACGAGGCTCATTATGCTCTGCCTGTTGAGCGTCGTGCTCGGCGAATTGACGGCGGCGATGGAGGAGGTGCCGTCTTCGTCGCTGCACATTTCGAGATTAAATCCGCTGTTGAACAATATGGAGTACGAGCAGCCCTCGGAGAAGAGGTCGTACGCTTACGTGTCCGAGTACAAGAGGCTACCGCTGTACAACTTCGGCATTGGGAAGCGATGGGTCGACAGTAACGAGGACAAAGTGAGTCCCGGCCGGGACAAAAAAACTCTCGTTAGACAATCTTTTTACTAACGGAGACAGCTTTCTCTCTCTCTCTCTCTCTCTCTCTTGTGTTTGCGTAGAAATAAAGGTAGAAAGAAATCGACATTCGATAGGGTATCATGACAAAGACTCGGCATAAATCTTTGACGTGTTACATTGCTGGGAAATGAAATCAAAGGATCGCTTCGAGTCGACCGGTCGGTGAAATGACGAAATTGAAACATTCGGAGAAAATATCGCAGAACACAGGTATTCCCGAGAGCGTTTTAAAGCCGGATGCTGCAGCTTTCGCGTGCAAGCCCAGGTCGCGTCTTCTTCAGGTGATACTTCTTTCAAGTCAACTACGAAAAATTGACGAGAAAACGGTTTTAAGGTCGCACGTGCGCGGAGGATACATTTCTTTTTAACTTTGCTTTAGGCGACTTGAAAGTTCAGTCTTCTCTTTAAAAAAATATGCTTCTTTAGAAATTAAATTACAATTTCCTTTCCGCCAAGTTGATCGAATCGATTAAGCGCATCTTCGGCTCTTCTCTGTGGAAGTATCGCTGAACGGAAAGCTCGACGAGGTCTCGAAGTTGAGACGTTCTGCTTTAAAGCTCTTATCGGCACATCGCCCGAGTCGAAATTTCGGCTCTGTTAAACCTTCAATTCTACAACACAATAGGAGCTAAAATAGCAAGATATAGTGTCAATTCTTGTGATATAATTTACTTCTACTTTGACCACGATGATGCTTTAAATTTCCAATTTCATTGCTTTTCGCGTTCAAAATAAATTGTTCTGTGCGCTCATATAAATTTAATAACTGAAATATCGAGATTACTTCCAGTAGTTAGCATTAAAATTAAATTTATAGAATTAAAGGTTTAAAAGAAGAGAAAAAGAAATTAACAAGTGTAGTATCATCGAAGTAGATCTTTGCCAGTCTAGAAGTTATCTAAGTAGGCGCAAAGTCCTTAAGAAGAACGTCAAAGTGGTCATAAAAATTACGAATCGGGCGCTCTGCGACAATTCTTCGCGAAGTTACATAAGCTCTTTCAAGTTTAATTGTTCCGATTGATTCGATGCATTTCCTTGTTCAGCATCTCTGAAAATGTTAAAATGTCCTACGATAATTCCGGCATATCCTGTATCCGGAGAAAAAATCGGCTGAATCGGCAAAATCAGATCGCCTTTATTTACAAAAATATTACTGAACAAATTAAGTATCGACGCAACATACGTTGCTTTGGCATAATGTTGATGTTTGCTGACGAAATCGCAATCGTTGAATCAGTTGATAACTTGATTACAGCAACTATGTGTGATTTGTTCAATGGACTAAGTGCTGTGCTTGAGAAGATTTTATTTAAGTGAGATTTCGTTAACTTCAAATTTTTCTTCAAACAAGATTTCGTTGATTCTACCACTATTTCTACCATTTCTTTTTTTGTGTGGATACGTAATATCCTATGTAGAAATCATACATATTCGGCAGTACCGAAGGCTGGCGACGTACCAGTTCAGTATTGAAAAATGGATTTCACGCTACGATATCAAAGCCTTGAATGAGAAAGCGAGAGATATCGGCAATTCCACATTGTGACAATTTCAAATTGTCTGGAACTAATACAAAAGCCCGGTTTGGACAAACAGTTGCAAAATATCAAGCGCTGAAATGAAATCAAAGCGGTTCTGGTCAAACTAATTTAGTCGCAATTTATATGTAAATTAATCAATGGACAATATTTAAAGCAAATGTCAGATGATATCGTCTCTGCTTGTCAGTGATAAAGGTGGTTATCGGGCAAGCGAGGAAGACCCGGCTTCGGTCCCAGTCAAAACCGCCTCGCTTCGATTTTTCTCACCTTACATAACATTGAAAAGTGGACGTCTGCAGGCACAAACGCGGTACCGGCCGTATTTTGACTTTCCTCCCGCGGTATAGTCGTGACGTTAGCAATTGTACAGTAACATTAATAGTCATCACTAGAAATCGTCGCTAGAAATATCGTCCTGATATTTTGCTGCCGATCAGTTTTGTGCGTTTGCAATATTGAAAATCGGCACGGTTGTCTTCCGAGTCTCGGTCAATCTCCATCAATCCGGTGTTCCTCCAGTATCGAATCGATCTTGGAATATCTAATACCGCCGAAAACCGGCACTGATCCGATGCCTCGCCAGCAGTTGTCTCCTACTTGATTGCACAGCGCGCTTTTTCACTCCGAATTCCCTCCGTGCTTCGATCTGCACGACACAATTGTGATTTCCACGCGGCCGAACAATTCGCAGAGAACGCGGCCATTCTCCTTCGGCATCGGCAAGCGTCTGCGAGACTACAGGTTCGGCTTGGGCAAGCGCACCAACCATCCCCTGGGCCTGGATTACTTCCCGGCCGACAACCTGGAGGCTTATCACTCGCACGAGGACAACGCGGACGACTTCATGGAGGAGAAGCGCGGTAACCAGCCGTTCAACTTCGGCATCGGGAAACGCGGCTGGAAGTTGGCCGAGGTGGCCGCGAGGAGACCGAACGTCGACGTAGCTGGCCCGAGATACCTGCTGAGCAAAGAATTGAGCGAGGACGAGGAGCTGGCTCAGTAGAGCCTCCCCGTCGAGGAGCACGGACTGTCTTCCCCCCCCCCCCCCCCCCCCCCCCCCNNNCCCCCCCCCGCCGTTTGCTTCAGTCCCTGTGGACGACCTGGCGCGAAGAAAGCACCTTCAGCGGCCGGAAGCCGAGTCGATCCACCGTGGACCGCGTAATTCGTTGCTTCCCCCCGCGGTCCCGTTTTTAACGATGCACCGCGTTTTTTTCAAAATCCACCGTCGGATCGACTCGGTGTCGACTATCTCTGTTGCGTATAAATAAATTGATAATCATTAACGATAATCGATACTGACGATCAACCCCTCCTCCTCTCCAGTCGAGCGGTGTTCGTCCAGTTGAATAACAATGCCGGTGATCGTGAAGTCGTGAGGGGCGAAATTTCTCGCGCGCAGCTTCCCCGACGTCTCCGCGTCGTCGTCGCCACGTGAAGGCCCTTCCACATCTGTCGCAATGTCGGTTGCGACGACGTTCGTCGCGACGACGCTCCCAGACTTGCGGCGCGACCCTGGTTGTGACAGCCAATTAGCAGCGTCGGCAGATTAAAAGTTGCAACACTTCCTTTCCGATGAGTTCCGCGACGCGTCTCGCGTTTTGTCGGGAAATGGTAACCACCTGAGAATCAGTAGAAAACAAATTCCACGCAAGTTCCACACATTTTCGCAGTTCGAGAAGTGTGATCGTACGTGAAACTTTTCACCTCTCACGTATCCGCTCTAAGGAAAAATTACGCGCTTGCCGCCCCGATCGGCTGCCTCGACGCCAGACAAGGCATATCGATCGCGCAGTTTTTCCCTAAGGGCGGAGATGTGAAAATTCCAAACGTTTTCAAATTAGAAAATATACTTTTTACGAATTCACGCTAAAGGAGAAGATTCATGACCGATCCCCCCCGGGGAAGTTATAAATCTTCCCCTCGAAACGTGAATTTGCGGAGAGTGCAAGTTTTCTAAATTGAACACGAATTTCGAACTTTCACCTTTCACGTTTCCGTTTTTCCCCAGGGAAAAATTACACGATCGATACCGAGTTCGCGTTACTGGCTTCGCGAACGTCGACGACGACGTTGCGATAGGAAGGGCCCTCGCGAGGTCGCTGAACGCCGAGCGCGACGAGACGGTCGCCCGCGGAAGTTGAACGTTAACACATCGCGTGCCCAGCTGGCCTTCCACTGGGATCTTCCCCGGGGCTGTGCGACTTATCCCCCCCCCCCCTCAATTGTTATCGTTCTCACCTCTAGATGTCATATTGTGTTAATTATCTTGCCACTTGTGTGCGGTGATGGATCCTCCGAAGTAAAACATACGTGTGCGACGTGGCACCGGTCGAATTATCAGCATTGTTCGCTCACGAATGACGCGGCACTCGTTGTGTTAAGAGCGAAACCGCGGATTCTCCCTTTACTTCGAGGAGTTCTCTACACTGTAAAAATAGAGTTCTCGTTAAAAACAGTCCACCGAAACCTTCAGCCGCTTTAACACGGGGAATCTGTTAAAGGGTACACCGATATGTGTGTTAATTTAACATTATATTTGTGCACTTTTCAACGTATATTTGTGTACGTTTGTAGCATATCCCCCCTTTAGCACAAAGTTTCAGTTGGGCCGTTTTTAACACGGAATATTTTATCGTATAAATAAGATTCGTTGACAGTCCACGCTCCGGCTATAAATGTACACAGAGACGACAGTGATACTTTGTCCGGCGCGATCGTAGAAAAATTCTTTTCCGTTCTCCGCTCCAGCGAATTCGTCCGAAAAATTCGTCAGCTCTTCCCCCGCACCTCTCGTCGCGATCAATAATCCGAATACATATTATATTCGTTGTTCGTTTACCGGAGACGAGGAAGAAGAAGAGGAAAGGATCGGAGGAAGAGCGAAATAGAGTAGAGCAGGCGTTTCCTTCGATCACAGAGCCGGCTCGTACTTATAAATTATATTACTATTAAACACTATGTATATTCCGACACTGATTAATGCTTGCGCTTTTCGTTCGAATAAAATATTGCATCGCCTTTCTCTCTCCGAATGGTTTCTCAACTCGCCTTAAGCACGCGATTACGAATTGTAATGACGGCGCCGATCGCACACTTTCGCATGTTTTCCGAAATCAATTACCGAGTCTGGGGCAGATCGTTACAGCGGCGAATTCGATTAATAATAACTGTGCGATAGATAAGATATAATAATAACCTCGATGTGCTGAAATGAAAAAAATCCCCACAACTCCACCTTCTCTCCGACCGCGACGATGCTCGGTTGCACGTTTTCGTTGATGCCCGCGATAATTACTCCCGACCGTCCCACACGTAGAGGAAGAAAAATTACACTATTACTCGCTGCTGTATTGTACCTATGTACTATGAATGTGATAATAAATCTTACAATCTTCTTTTCGTCACACGTATGCCGTATGTATGTACGTATGCTTGCGCGCGTGCATGTGTATGTGTGTGTGTGTGTGTACGACGTGTATATGAGCGAGCGTGTGTGTGTATGTACGCACTTTCGACACCGCTTGCACCCTTTGACACGTCATTATTTTAGCTGCTGCAGTCAAATGAGAATTTATTGAACGGCGAATGTTATTCCGATATATTTATCGTGCGCGACGAGCGCGTTCGCCGGCATGATTTATTAAGTGTACCTATTATAATAAACGATGAATGCAAATATGTCGATATATTTAATGCACGTAACGGGCAAATGCAGCGTCTCTCTCCCGTGCATCCCGGATTCGGAATAGAAATAATTCCCGGCGACGGACAGATCGACGTCTCTAATTTTTATATCAACGGTTACGCCTCGCCATTCCCTGTGAACGGCGAGAGAGCGCATTTGTAATACAGTTGATACAGCAATCACGATGGGTCTCGCCGGATACGCCGGATCCCGTATTCCCGGTGTACGTTTCGACCACGACGTGAATTAATAGTTACACGATAAAGACCGCGGCGCTCGGCGTGGGACTCGCGTGGTGACCCGATCCGCGATAAATAACGCGCGAGTCCGCGCCAGAACCGCCGCCATGAATCAGGCACGCCCCCGTTCGGTCTCGATAATCCGACGTAGTGCTCGCTGCACGGAGTCCCGGTCGAGTCCAGCTTCCTTCGTCGACTTTGCCGCGCTCCTTTCTGTTTTTCTTTATCTTCACGGGAGTTCAGACCGTAAACCAAATCGATAGGAGAGAAAGAACGATCGAACCAGCTTCCCCGTTTCCCGCGGTTCAGGTGAGGATCAGCCGGCGCGTCTGTCGGAGAAAAAGCACGAAAATCGATACGTAGGTAAACCGACGCACTCGAGTTTCTCGGCTGCCAAGTGTGAAATCCTGTTAGACGGTGCGTGAACTTCGTCCGCTGCGTAAATAGTTGGAGCCGAAGCGGCAATTTCTCATGCAAGCGCGTTTCACGGTGCTGTTATCAGCGTTGTTTGATTTTTCGTTGCGCCGGAATTTCGTCGAGCTTTCTTCCTGTGAAAATTCAACAAAGCGGTAAGTGATTTACTTGACGATGCCACGGTATCGGATGAATTTCCATACCTTTTATACCACTTTGGATCACTTGAACGAATCTCCATCTTCTGTCATTGCACCGTGCAGGCAAAGTTAGGCTCGAATTGTTCTGTGAATCGAGACACCTGAATTTACTGGCCTTTCAATCGGCATACCTGGGTTTTACTGAAATATTATTTCACAGAATACAGTTGAAACTACCGGTGATCGATTTTCCCTCGCGTTTCTCGTTTGCTTGTTAAGATAGTCGAAAAGAAGTCAGAAGATTCCTTTTCGCATGATGAAGGTGCGACGTAAAAATCTCTAAATTTTTTTGAAAATACGTAAGATTAAAGATAACATATAAGGACATATAATAAATGTATAGAATAATGTAATTTCAATGCTTTCTTGTTTTATCTTTTTTTAATAATTTCCTATCATTGGTATGTCGGTTTTAGGCCACAGTAAAAAATGTTATGTTACAAATGGCCCATCTAAATTTTTGTATTGCTTTAATATGGGGGGAATACGTTGAAAAAAGCACACAAATACATTAAATTAATATATTTATCTTGTTAAAGTAACAAAGCCTTGTTAAAGTAACAAAAATTTGGGTAAACCGTTCGTGACACAAATTGTTTTACCGTAGTTTCTAGAAACGTCAATCCTCTCAAACGTGAAGATACACATTTGCAAGAAAATATGTAACAATTTTTATGAGACCATCATAAATATATTTTGCTGGAGAAACGTCTCCGGTTTGCATGCACGCATATAAATTTTCATTTCATACCATCAACGAGAACGTAGAAACCAAAAATGGTATGTTGATTCTGGTACTTTTCCTCTACTCATTGCTCCGTCCGTCGACTAACGTCGTTTTCACGAAAATACGGGAGGATTTAAAGAAAGAGGAAAGAAGGAACCATGTCCGGCCGTTTTGCGTTGAGTCGTGAACTCGCACTGTGCGTCATCCTGGCGTTATCCGGTTACACCGTCGCTCTTGAGAAGTACTGGCTGCCGGACCTGGAGTGGCAAACCGCCAGCAACTGGGCGGACGGTCGCGTCCCGGAAATTGACAGCCACGTCATTTTTCCCGAGGAGACCCGCCACGCAGTGGGCATCGCCGAACCCGCCGATCTCAGATTGTCCGCCCTCGATCTGTCCCGGCAAGGATCCCTGGTCCTGCCGAGGAACGGCAAACTGCAGGTGAGCGCACAGTTCATTAACTCGTTATGACGGCCAGTTCGACGAGCGAATGAAACGGGAGGACCCGTGCGAACGATTTGATATCCGACTGACCTTTTTGAGCGTGCATTCATTACACTCGCAGATGAAAATCGTCGTTTGTTTATCAAATATGCGGGATCTCGCTCCCGCTGACGCGTATAATTGCGACATTAATGTTAACGCCGACATGTCGCTTTGATGACCGCTTTGATTCCGTAGAGTGCTGCTTATCGAAACGCGTCACCACGGTGATAAACATTATAAAATTCTAAAGTTTACGTACGTTCCACGCACATCGGCTCATTTCTCGATCATGAATGTTCCATTAACTAGAAATGAATCCACGTGTCTGATTGTAATCTGACAAATTTGTGTATTTGATCAGTTTTTTCCCCTTGTTCCTTCTCATTTATGCTCGCGATGACGGCAACAAAGTTTCTCCAGTGACTTCTGGGATAAAAAAAGAAACGAAACAGTTACGAGATGAAAAATCACGACTACTCGTCGACCAAGAATGTAACGCTTACTTCCTCCAACGGTTATGTAAACAAGCTAACTAAAGTGGCCCGACGAAAGAAATTACACAATTATGAGCTGAAAAATTGCAGCCGATTTCCGAGTAATGATTGAATCTCCGGACTGTTTCAGTGCAAGCTAATCAATTTGTGTGTCAGATTTCATCGTTCAGTTTTCCTTCGCCATTAATCGGCCAGTCTCGTAAGACCTAATTCTTCCAGCGGACTGTACAAGTAAATCGGTTAATTGTTGGACGAAAGAAATTGCAAAATTATCAAATGGAAAACAAACTACCGAGTGGGGAAATTGAATCTCAGGAATATCCAACAGCGAATTAATCAATTATCAGATCGTCATTGTCGAGCTTCATTTTGCTATCGGCTAACCAGGCGGGCTTTAATCCCTTTGATTACTGTACGAACAAACTAATCAGCATGAGCACATAAAGTGGCTGTGTTAATAAATAAACCGGTGAAATTTCGCCGTTGTTAGTCGTGTTACGCGCGTTACTAAGAGACTCGCCGCGCATTTCGCGCTTTCGCGCCGAAATAATTCACCGTGCATGTTACGCGTATGCAAAGCTAAGCCACTCGAGAGCGGACGCGAGAGTCAGCAGATGGTCGAGGAAGGGTAATTTCTTCTGGGTCGACCCGGCGAATTGGAACGGGAGCTCGATAGCGGCGCCGCATCTCGAGCAATTGCCTTGCCGGCAGGACAGCGTGGTCCTGCCGAACGTGAATCGCACCTTGAGCATCCTGCTGCCCATAAATGGGATAGAGGTGAAGTCAATTCGGCCGTCGAACGAGGAACAGCCGTTCACCAGGTGGCAATGGAGGGCTTTCCAAGATCGCAGGGAATTCGTCGCAAGCAAGCCCACCGTGAAGTAAGTCCCGATAACGCGCATTTAGTCGCAGGTCGTTTTCTTGGAGATTCTTAATTTCTTAATTTATTCTTAATTATTACTTGTCATTTCTTCTAAACCAATTTGGGATTTTAGTGGAAAACTGCTGTGATATTAAGGAGATGCTATACAAACAGTGTACGAAATTTTTTAAATTATTGACCGTCTTGTTTTGAAAAAAATAGCCATGAGAAGTTGATCTTGTCAGTCAACATATTAAATTACGTATAAAGTGTAATTAATTGCATTCGAAAAGACGGCCAGTGGAAAGTTAATAAAACGAGATAAAGGGTTCTGATTCGCATTTATTTATCGTACATTCTGTAATCTTTTTCTCCTTTACCGTTGTAAGTTTGTCTTCCGGGAGATCATTTTTTGCAGCTATGCCGAGTACAGCTGCCCGAAGTGTACCTGCCAGAAGAGTTCCGCTCTTGACAGAATATTTCATTATTATTACCTCGAGGAGATCTGCACCATTCAAGAAGGACGATGCGGATTCACTGCCTGCGAGTATCCTCTTAAGGTCAGGCGCTGCGTTTTCGCAGCAAACGTCAACATTTCATTAATCCTTTAACTACAAACGGCAGTATCATATACACGGCCGGGATTTCAACCGGGGGTAGGAGGGGGGAACCAAGATTTATCCTCACACCAAATTTATATAACACACATAATTTACCGAATTTTTCAACCGACTTTACCGCAGGTGGAGGGTCACTGCTGTCCGTACTGCGGCGGGCGCGTTTCCACGTCGACGAAGTCGATCTCCCTGGCGGTCGTGCGGATCACAGCGGACGAGGCTCTGGAAGGATACGCGGCGCAGATCGCCTGGCACGTCCGACGCACCCTGGCCGGCGGTGTCGAGGTCCTCGTGAAGTCTAAGGGCGACTATTCCGGCGTCGTGATCCAGGAGGCGGTGGAGAATCTTCGGGAGATGCTGCGAAGTTAGTGCGCTCCTGTGATTCTCACCTGTGCCGTCCGTATGGCGGATTTTCCAAACATAATCCGCGACGACGAACGTCACGGCAGAATCTCCGAGCGATTTCGGAGCGCGTTTTTACCGCGAAGTCGTCGGGGATTGACGTAGCGGGGAGAGCTTGAAATCGCATGTGCAAAAGCGATAAAGTGCCATTGTCCGTGCCGTTCTTATTGTTTCACCACGCCGGTATTGATTGTGAGTGGCTTTGACACTCACGAGAGAGAGAGAGAGAGAGAGCGACGGCACGGATTTTTAATTCAATTTTATAATTGAAACGTGTAACACGGCTTGTGCAACCGCGCAATCGAACGAGCAAGCGGTGAGCGTCCTCTGCGCGCGCGACACGCTCGAAATGTTATTTATTTGTCGTGAAAATTTGAATTTCTGCATATTTTATACTGCGCTCTCCCTCTCTCTCTTTCTCCTTCTCTCTCTTTCTCTCTCTCTCTCTCTCTCTCTCTTCCTGCAAAGGCTTTTCAACCGAATTTCCAGCGCAGTTCATAAATCCCGAAAATATTACCTCCGAACACACCGAGAAGGGGTCATATACTTTGTATTTAACGTTATTAATTATGTCAATAAGCCGAATCAACGTACAGATGTACTTTCACCAAACGATAGACGAAGGGCACGCGTTTAATCGTTGGAAGGATGTCGTTCCGTCGATCAGCGTAAAAAACTGTAATACATAAAGGGGCACTGAGCATTTACGTGATATTTTTCCCGATGTGGTTTCGAACAAACAAAGATACATTACATCGAGTCGATGACGTTATTAATCATTCCAATAAGTCGAATCACAGATACACGTTTTATTGAATGATAGAAGCGCATGATTGATCGTCGAGGGGATAGAAATTTGTCGGCCTACGCGCGAAGAAACGATAAAGAATGAAAAAAAAATAGAGGGAGAAACTCTACGGAATATATCGTTTTATATTCGACGTTATTAATCATACTAATAAATCAAATCACAGATTTTTAATTAAAGATAGAAGTGGGCGATACTTTCTATCGTCAAAAGGTCGGCAATTCGCTGTTTCAGGAAGGAATGATAATCGATGGGGAAAGAAAAGAAGCTTTATAAAATGTATTATTCCGCATTTGTGACGTCATTATTATTCCCATATATATATAATTCAAATTACAGATATGCTTTTTCTTTTGTAACGGAGGTTGAAGCGCACGGTTTTTCTCCTTTTACTTTTCAATAGGACAATTCGCCGGTCTGTACGAAGAAACGATAATCGATAGAAAAAGAGAGAGAGAGAGAGGGGGGGAAAAAGCTTGATATAAAATTTATCGTTTCATATCGAACGTTATTAATTGTATTTCAATCCATCGAATCGCACAGATGTTTTTTCATATATTTCGAAGCGAACGAAACGCCAACTCGCCGGCCTGCACGCGCAGAAACGCATAATCTATGAGAGAACAAAACGAAAAAGAATTTCTTTTCCCGCCAGGCACGGGAATCGACGTGAGCGTGGAGACGGCGGGCGCAGCTATAAAGGATTCCCGACTGGCAGTCGCGCTCGGCCCATTTCTCGGTGCACCGGCCGTTGTGATCGTCCTTCTTCTGCTGGCTTTCTTATACTTCGGCTATTCCTTGGGGAGGTGAGTGAGACAATACACATCCGCGGACGGACACGCGGACGTGTCATTTAGAGTCCCTTAAGTAAGACAGTCTGATGCCATCTCGGCCATTTCTTTCCAATCGCTCTGGCTCTTTTCGATCAAAAGTGGCGGAACCGAGGATCGCCGGATAAAGGGACTCTATTTGCAACTAAATGTTATACCGAGATGGGAGACGAATGATAAGAAGACAATGGAAAAATTGATTCTCGAGAAATTGAAAAATCTATATTCATTAATACCGTTACATGCGAGGTGTCCCATTTTAATGGAGTATCTCGGAAACGAAGTAATTGACAGGAAAATAATTCGGACTAAAGGGTTGCAGGGTTTTCAGAAGAGGACATAAATCGGTGACTTTAATTTCGTCATACAGTCGATAATGTAAATTTGTTTCGAGGTCGACTTCTTCTCTTTTTTTAACGGAATCGTAGTTTTCTCGACGCAGATCGAATCCTCTGTTCGCGGGACATCCTGTATAATCAGAAATAAACGACGGATATATTTTCAGAAAAATGTGCCTGACCTCGACATGTTGTAGGTGCTCTTCATAGGCAAGGCATTCGAGTGACAAATCGGGCGTTGTTTGATAAGTAAAAAAAAGATTCGGAGATGGCCAGACACGAGTGACTTCAAGTGTCATTGTTTACCAGCGAATCCTTTCGCGAGTCTCGAACGACAATTAAAGTCAAACGCAATTTCTCATTGTTACGTCGAATTAAATATTTAACGCGCGCTTGACACGTCGAGTACGCCGCCGAAGCAGCGCCGAGCGCGGCAACGCGAGATCTCGCAGCATTTGGAGCGCCACGCTGTGTTGCCCGATATATTTGCACACGTTCTCGGCGCAGCCGGAAATTAAATAATTCGTTAAAACGTATTACATTGAATAATATATTAAAGCACGGCTGAGCTTGACGGGACGCGCCGGCAGGCGCCGCGTATCGACCGCGAGTATTTCGGCAATATGCGAAACTGTTGACGAGCGCCGGTTTGTCTGTTTTTGTTCTCTCTCTCTCTTTGTTTTATAAAAATTGTTATATAAAAAAAGGAACACGACGCGTGGTCGTCAGGCTAAATAAATATTGCCGTTAAAATCGGCGGTGGACGGAGCGTAAAAAAAGGCGAGAAACTCGCGTCACATCGTGTGGGCGCGTGAAGTTTCATCGCGACGATCGTCGCGTGACGGTGCGCTTCCTACACTTGTGCAAACACTCGACGCACGCACGTACGGCAGTAACAATAATCGTGGCGACGAACACACCGCGGAAAGACCGAGGGAAATCGAGTTTAACGCGCGTTTCGAGCGGCGCAATTGTGTGCGCGACGGGAAACGGACGGCGCGGGAAATTTCAGACCGCGCTCGACCGGACGCGTCCGTCCCGGGGTGGAATTTTAGTCACACGCTTGGTTTTCCGATAACGCTTCGAAATTCTTCAGTCCTGGTATTAAAATCTATAATTGGAAACTGACGAATGGCGTACGTGCGACAATTTGTCAAATGATAATTAAATTTCGACTCGGCACTTCTCTGACGGATCGCCTTTTCCATCCGACGACGATCTCGCTGTTTCGCGAATCTGTGAAAGAGGGAGAAAAGCGATCGCACAGATTGTACATCGGATGCACGCACGTGAAATTACGGCGGTCCACGTCGAAATCATTTCGAGACGATGTCGATCGCCGATTCCAGTCCTCGTGGAAATATGAGTAAGTGTGCGAGAGTAACTGTCCAGCCGAAGCGGAAAATTGGAGCAAGGCCCTTAAATTGAAGCAAGGCGCAACGTTCGCTCACTTAAATCCGGATTAACAGAGGTAGTTGGGAAGAGTTCGTCGCCACCGTTCGCCGCTCGAGACGCAAAGACGGACGAGTCAGTGACAGACAACGAGATTGCAACTCGCAACTCCATCAGGCCGGTCGCAAATTCGCAGCTGACAAAATTTCCCTCGGAGTCACTGCTATTAAATCCGCGGGGAAATGGAAAACGTCGAACTCCGGGATTCTCATTTCCCGGAACGTACATCCGATACGACGAGAGAGCGCGGGAGAAAAGGGACGAGAGGACGGGCGAGACCGACGAGACGAGAGGGAGGAATGCGAGAGTGCGGACGGTGAAACAGGGTGTTTTAATTTGCGAAGTAGCTACGGGGAACGGGTAGTTCAGCAGGCGGCGAACTCCGCCGCCGTTTTCTCATTTACGGATTTCGCGAGTTTCCCGGCGCGTCCTTTCACGACGTTAATTCCTCTCCTTCGTCTCCGTGCGCCTTTCTGAGCGCGCGCGAGCTCGCGACTCCCTTCGAATCCGGCGTACTCTCTCGCGCTCGTCTGATATTTAATTAGTCCGGTTCCCTCGGTGAGTCGACCGGTTGCTTAATTATTGCTCTCAGCAGGCATCAAGCCGAATTAAATTGGCTACTACGCAATTTTTCCCCACGCTGGATATACTCTCGGCGGTTGCCGGCGCGTCAAATGACGAGTCGAAGTCTTTGGGGGATACTTGAAATTTCTTGGGGCGAGGTCTCGTTCAAAACGGACGAAGTGTGGCATCTTCGCTCGAAGCGACAGCGAGAATACCGCTCGGAACCGCAAGATTGAACGTTTCACTCAGGCTTAAACTGAATTCCAACTCTTCTTCTTCTTGTTCAAAAAGTGCGGCTATAGTTTAAGAACCGATTTTTTTCTCAGTTTTTTCCGCGAATTCTTTCGGAGGAGGAGGAGGAGAAGGCAATGCGCGGCGATGATAACAAAAGCGGGTTTTAATTGTAATTAAAATTAAAATTTAACGAAAGTTCAGAAGCTTGAAATTAAAATCTTTCTACCGCCTACGGCGAAATGTATCCTTTGCAGCGTCCTCTCGGGATGCATGGAGGCTGTGTCGTCCGTGCGAGATGGAATTCGTGTGGAGAAGCAGAAACACGGTTTCGCCCGTTTCGAAAACGTCCCCGAAGGCAACGTTCAGATCGCCGACGTTGCCGGAACGAGCGGGCGGCAGATTGATGACAGCGAGGAAAGAATAAGGCAGCCGACCGGCGGTGGCAGGTTTGAAAATCCCCTCTACAGGTCCAAGCGGGATAAGCCGGAGGAACGTGAGATGCTCGATACCCCTCTCAGTCTCGCTGCTCTGAAGGGCAAGGTGGAAGGGCAGCTGGAAAACGTGGAGATGGACAGCGAAGAGTAAAAACGCACGTCGCCGATTCATCACGTTGTACCTTCTCCTTGGCGTTGTATAAAATATTCAAATATAATTAATTCTGCAATGCATGCCAGGGACGATCGAAAATCACACTGGGTGTCGTGCAGAAAGTCAAATAACTAAGTGCGAAGTCGGCTTAAATTTCACCGAAAAACAAAGAGAAAATATTCTCTCTTCTGGTAAAGCGCATATATTGAGAGAAGTGTTCAGCGGTGTTGCGAGATACTCCGCGGATCCTAAAATCTTGAAATGAAAATCAATTATACCACAATCAATTATATCACATCTATATCATAATTTCGTATTCAATAATGTATTAATGCAATATAATATATTATGTTATAACATAGATATTATGTAAACGATGCTCGGTGTCGACTGGATTTAAACCCGTCAACCAACATCATCAATGATTCTTCCTCAGATCTCCGTACGAGATACCTGGAATGTTAACGACTGGTGGAGAAATTACCGAAAAATTGACGTCACGAATGTATAATGGCGGGAATGTCGGACGTATCTCAAAAAGGCAAATGTATTCAGTTACTTTGCATTTTGCACGTGGCATGGGCGGTAGCAAGGTGTGTGCGCGCACGTATATATAAATCGTATATGAAGCGCACGTTAGCTCACAAGTGTTTATTTCTTATTGTCGAAAAACATCCATTCTTGAAGTTGCAGCATCGCGTGTTATAACGATAACACGTGGTGCCACTATGTTGTTTTGTAGATACATTACACGCATACATAATAAATGGATGTGGAACGTCGTCAAATAGAAGTAGTGTATGGTGTGGTGTAGTATGTATGTGTGTATGTGTGTGTGTGTGTATTTCGCTAATACATATAAGGATTCTGGATAGATATAGACGCCAAGTACAAGTGATATAACAGACGCATGACGTTTCCATATCGCATATGAGAAATAAACAATAGATCGTGGATAATGGTTAATAGTGATAAGTAATCATTATAATCGTAACAACGATGCGCTTTTTCTCTTCTTCGCCGAACGTTCGTGTCGTTCGTAATTTTTCGTAAAATATATATATAATCTATGTATATATAATATTAATATAAATATATATATATATATATATTTATATATATATATATATATAATCATTTATAAAGCTTCATTCATAGAATATATTAAACTCTGTTTTTTCCCGATAAAAATCGTTATTCTCTCTCATTCCCTTTCTCTCTCTCTCTCTCTCTCTCTCTCTCTGCTGCTTTGTACAGTTATATAATTCTTTTCCTCATCATACGCACACGTGTAACCGAGTACGCGACACTTAAAAACAAATATATGTATATATCTATATAGACGAAAAGATGGACCTTCTTGGCCAATCCGGTGGCTTTGTAGAGTCTTCGGAATACTTGGAAGGCGCGTGTCTTTGTGACTTACGCACTTACATTAACATCTACAATCGATGATCCATGCCCGATTACTGATTATTGACTCCTTTTTCATTGACTTATTCCCGACGCAACGTATCTGCGGCAGATCTCTTTTTCGTTACACTTCCCTAAAGATCCGACACCGTCTTAAAATTAAACACAAGGATATCGTCCGTTAGAATTCACGACTTTTGATCCTAACACGCGCATATATATACGCAGTCGACGTTACATACGTCATGCCATTCCTTGAATTGAGGCTTGCATGATTTTCAGCCTTACAATGTGCGCATAAGATCGGAACCATTGGACAACTAGAGCCATTACGAACCTATCATTACAATTGGAGTTACTTGGGCGATTTTCAATCTTACGTGTGTATGTGCGAAGCTGAAAATCTCTCGGTGTATCGCGTCTAGAGAGAATGACATAACATACATGTGACGCTGACTGCACACAATATGACCATTAAGATATTCATTTTCCTAATTCCGTAGATATTTCTTTTTTAAATAAAAGTAAACCTCTACTGTAAACTCTATGCCACCTGGGAAACTCTGCTCCTAGATAACCGTACATAATCACACGTAATTACACATGTCCACGCCAAAAACGATTTCCCGTACAAGCACGATTGTTGTAAAATTGAAGTGAATACTTAAATATCGACGCTTAATTGGGCGAAACTATTTTCTACCCCTTCTTATTCATTGGCAATTTTTTTCCCACGCGAACATACGTAATTATACATGGTTATATACATGGCCATGTATATACTGACAAAATCCGTATATATAGGTTATTCTTTCCTTCTCCGTTTCTTTTCTCTTCCTCCTACATTCTCTTCGCGTTTTCTCGCTGGGGTCTCCACACTTACGCGACAGAGAATTGTGCCGGCCGACCGACGGTCGCGAGTCCCCATTTTAAGTGATATATAATATTGGTACAATGGTAATCGTCCTCCGGTAGACATGCGAGGTATGTGTGACCGTTCAGTACAAACAGGGAGACCGGATCGAATCGGCCAACCGGGGGTCACGTTGGCCGTTGGCGTTTCATTTATGTATTCACGAGAGCAACGATCGCGGAATGTTCCCTCTCGAAACGCGGGTGTCCTCCCCGCGTTCCAAGAGGGACAGAATCCGGATCCGCCTCATCCCGCGCCGAACTCTCCACGCGGGTAGTCTAAATCCTACGTTTATTTGGCAATTGTGATGAAATGAAACGCGACGGGAGGGGGGGGGGGGGGGGAAGGAAAAA